AGCAGGGAGCCCAATGCGGGACTCGATCCCGGGACTCCAGGATCATGACCTGAGCCGAAGGCAGTCGCTTAACCAACTGAGCCACCCAGGCGCCCTAATAAGTCTTATTTTTGTCACTACTTCTATCATTTGGCAATATGTTCAGGTTCTTAATGCAACATTTGTGACAAGACATTTTAATAAATTACTATTTTGGTAATCTTATCTATTTTTTCCTGCTTTGTTAGTTCAATCAAAATAGCTTATTTTAAAACATGAGAACAACCTTAATAATATTATCTTCATTATTAGAAAAAGATGGAAAGACATTTTAGAGGCACTCATCACCAGTAATAATTAATAAATAGCTTCCATTTACTGAGTGTCAACTATAAGGAATGTAGTATATGTTATACACTTTCTATATATTCTATCCAGTTCTAAGAAATAATATAAATTGATATAAACTGACATAATATAAATTGCTCAAGATGAATTTCAGAGCCAAGATTCAAATGTAGATGAGTCTCATTCCAAAGACTCAAACCTTCCCACCAAACAATACATCAGTGAAAAAATACCTTTTGCATGCAATTTCTCTATTTATCAATGCAACAACTGGGGGTGGATGAAGGTACGGTGGAACAAGTTGATGAGAAAAATGTCAGAGAAGGACAAGATAGTTATTCATGTATAAAATAATAGCATAGACCTTTAGGAATGTATTTTTGTTTTACATAATGCTGCCAGCTAGTGGCCCTATTTCATACTGAGCCACTGGAAACAATGCTTGATTTTTACATCACTGAATTAAAAATTCCACATTTAACATTCTAGGATCATGTTCCTAAACTATACATGCATAACCTGACTTAATGTTATTTCACCTTACCCCAGAACTAAAGGAGAATGTCTCCTCAACCACCACTAGCCCTAATCCCCAATAAAATGAGATATGCCTAAATGGGAAAGAATTCAGCAAGTGCCAACATGTAGAAACTAAAAGGTACACTTGTCACTATCTATGAAAAAGAAACCCATATTATTTAAATATTTTTGGGTAATTTGGGGATACTTATAGATTCCTTAGTGACAAAATATATAATTATTTTTATATATTATCAAAAGCTTGCCATATATGGACATAAAAACAAAATTATTGCCTAAGTATCGCTGAACATTATTCTATGCAGATCTAAAATTAGAGGGCATCTGATAAAGTAGTACTGTTAGCAAAGTATGTTATTTTAGTTCAGAGAATACAGTTATGAAATTTCCTTTGGGAAAAAAAGTATTGAGTACCATTTTTACATTTAAAAAGGTCATATTAAAAAATAAAATAAAAATAAAAAGGCCATATTAAACTGATAATTCACTATGTTTAGAAAAATATCTTAAGTAACACACATGAAGAAATACACAGCTCTGATCATCGTATATTGCTTAACACAGTGATATAAAGATATTCTTGGCTGATTTCTTTCATCATATGGCATGACAATTATTTAAATGATTCTCTCAATGGAGAAATCTATCACGACAATCAGAAGCTTAGATGAAAAGACAATGTGTTCTATAGTATAACGCTGCATAAAACAAAAAACCTTCCAGCATTGTATTAACAGCAAGGAAAACAAACGTTCTGGTTTTATTCCATAGTGAAAAAAGAGAAGAAGCAGGAAGTGGAAAAGAAAGTACCTAAAACACAGCAAAGAAAAAAGAGCCGATGTGTTGGATTAACTGAGAAGGTCAAAATGGAAACAAGAAACAAAAGGGATAGTACTGGAGAGTCCAGTGTTCCTTCTGACCTACATTCTGTCACACACACACACACACACACACTCACACACATAACTGCAAAGTGTAAAAATAGCCTTATCCCACTTTGTAGGTCCATCTTATATGAAGCTTATCTCACAGCTAAAAACAGTAAGAGTTTATATTACACACACACACCTATGCACACACATCATTATAATAAATATCAGTGAGAAAAACACTAATTATAAATCCACTTTTTAAAACACTAAAAATAGTTCCACAAAGGGAACATATAACTTACAAACATTGCCTGTATTGTCAAAGCTGGTAAGAACATCTTCAACATTCAAAGATCCATTATTACGCCTAGAAAGAAATAAAGCATTTTCTTTAATGATTCTGAAATATTAAGATTTATTAAATTTTTTAAAAGCTGAGGCTGTGTATTGTGATATACCCACCCAATACAAATAAACCCTTCCCTGTTACATTTTCAAAATATTTTCTGCCCACTAGAGGGAGAAGGAAAAGAAATAACAGAATACATTTCTCAGAATATTTAATGTAATGATATTTTTGATGATTAATGTACATTTTAAAGTATTAGTAAATAATTTTTATTGTTGTTTTAGCTATATAAAGGTGAGATAGATTATTAAAGACAACAAAACAAAACCTTACTTTTGAGAATCTCAAAAGAAAAATAAGTCATCAACCTCCAGAACCACACCCAACAATAAATAGATTTCCTCTATACCAGTCCAACAAATTCAGAACTTCAGTCAAAAAGAACTAACAAGGGCACCTGCGTGGCTCAGTTGGTTAAGCGACTGCCTTCGGCTCAGGTCATGATCCTGGAGTCCCTGGATCAAGTCCCGCATCGGGCTCCCTGCTCAGCAGGGAGTCTGCTTCTCCCTCTGACCCTCCCCCCTCTCATGTGCTCTCTCTGTCTCATTCTCTCTCTCTCAAATAAATAAATAAAATCTCTAAAAAAAAAAAAAAAAGAACTAACCAATCTTCAGGTCTGCACAATCCACAATTAGAAGGTTCTAAATGTCGGGGGGGGGGCAAATTGTTTTTTATCTTTTTCCCACTAACCTTAATTCCACTCCTTTTAATTCTAATCTCTATTCACTTGACAGCCCGCCCCTGAAATACCTAATTTGATTACTGATATTTTATTAATACTTACAAAAGATGCTATTCTTCATATACAAATGGGCCCAAATGTTAATAGGTCATAGGGTTTGAGATACTTTTCCAGTGGTGATTAAAAAAAAAAAAATCTGTTGGGGCACCTGGATCTCAGTCGGTTAAGCGTCCAACTCTTGATTCCAGCTCAGGTCATGATCTCAGGATCGTGAAATCGAGCCCCAAGTCAGGCTCTGTGCTGAGTGTGGAGCCTGCTTAAGATTCTCTCCCTCAATTATGCTAAGTGAAGTAAGTCAATGAGAGAAAGACAATTATCATATGATTTCATTCATATGTGGAATTTAAGAAACAAAACAGAGGATCATATGGGAAGGGAGGGAAAAATAAAATAAGATGAAATCAGAGAGGGAGACAAACCATAAGAGACTCTTAACTACAGGAAACAAATTGAGGGCTGCTGGAGGGGAGGTGGGTAGGGGGATGGGGTAACTGGGTGATGGGTATTAAGGAGGCACGTGATGTGATGAGCACTGGGTGTTACATGCAAATGATGAGTCACTGACCTCTGGAACTAATAATACACTATATATGTTAATTAAAAAAAAAAAATCCTCTCCCTCTCCCTATGCTCTTCCCCTCACCCCCCACTCACACTAACAACAGAAATTGTTGTAAGTTATTTTTCACAAGCACTTTAAGCTATCCTAGAACTGAGGACTTTTGAGCTTTTCCCAAGAATGGCCTATGGAGTAAGGAGGACTAAGGAGCAAGTCACTGGGGCAGATAATTATGTGAAGAGGGGGAAAAAAGCTACTAGAGGAAAAGTCTAAAGTCTAAAGATAGCAAGAGTTTGGAACTAGCGGTTAAAAATAAGCCAGGGCTAAATATGATATAAAAAGCACAAAAAAAAAAAAAGAAAGAAAAAGAAAAACTAGGTAAGATTCATGACTGAATGTCATGAAAATTAAAAACTTTTGTCCATCAAAGGACACTATCATTGAAGTGAAAAGACAACCCACAGAATAGGAGAAAATACGTGCAAATCACTACGTCTAGTATCCAGAATATATAAAGAGCTTTCATGATTCAACAACAAAAAGATGACCCAATTAAAATGGGCAAAAAATTGGACATCATTAATCAGGGAACTGCAAATCAAAACCAGTGAGATATCACTTCATCCCCCGAGGATGGCTAAAATAAAAATAATCAAGGAAAAATAACAAGTGCTGGCAAACATGGAGAAAAACTGGAACCCTGATATACTCCTGGTAGGAATGCAAAATGGTGCAACCATTGTGGAAAACAATTTGGCCATTCTTCAAAATGTTAAACAAAGATTTACCACACGACCCAGCAATTTCACCCTTAGGTACATACCTAAGAGAGTTAAAAACTTACACAGTCACACAAAAACTTACATATGAATGTTCATAGTAGCATTATTCATAATAGCCAAGAAGTGGAAACAACTCAAATGTCCATCAACTGATAAATGGATAAACAAAATGTGGTATTATCCATATGACACAATATTATTCAGCCATAAAAAAGGAATGAAATAATGATACATGCTATAACCCAGATGAATCAAAAACATTACTCTAAGTGAAAGAAGCCAGACATAAAAGTCCACATATTGTATGATTGTATTTATATGGAATGTCCAAAATAGGCAAATCCATATAGACAGAAAGTAGATTAGTGGTTGCCAGGGTTTGGGGGGGAGGAGGAAGATGGAGAATCACTACGAATGGGTATGGGGTTTCTTTATGGGGTGAAAAAAATCTCTAGAATTAGACTGCACAACATTATGAATATATACTGAAAACCATTGAATTTCAGTTTAAAACGGTTAATTAGAATGGTGAATTTAATGTTATACGAATTTTATCTTGATTAAAAAGAAAAGTGGTCCCCCCCCAAAAAAAGAAAGAAAGGAAAAGCCAGAGAGTAAAATGGGCCCTAAAAGGCTTTAGAAGAAGAAGAGAGGTTTTCAGAAGGAAAAGGTTTGATTCTAGATGCAACATGCTTTGGAGGTCTTTCAAAAATAAATGGCTAAAGAGTGAAGTAAATCAGACAGAGAAAGACAAATACCATATGATTTCACATACAAGTGAAAGCACATGAAAGGATGGACATCATTAGTCATCAGGGGACTGCAAATCAAAACTGAATAAACAAAACAAAAACAGACTCATAGATGCAGGAACAAACTGTTGTTTATGGTGGGGAGGAGGGTGAACGAGGTGAAGGGCACTAAGAGGTACAACACTTCCCGTTATTGGGGCGCCTGAGTGGCTCAGTCGGTTGAGCATCTGACTCTTGATTTAGGTTCAGGTCATGATCTCAGGGTCGTGAGATCACGCCCTGCATCAGGCTTTGAGCTCAGCATGGAGTCGGCTTCAGATTCTCTCGCTCTCCCTCTGCCCCTCCCCCCACTCACACACTCTGCTCTCTCTCAAAAATAAATAAATAAATAAAATCTTTAAGAAAAAAACAAACTGGGGCACCTGGGTGGCTCAGTTAAGCGTCTGCCTTCGGCTCAGGTCATGATCCCAGGGTCCTGGGATCGAGCCCCACATCGGGCTCCCTGCTCCCTCTGCTGCTCTCTCTCTCTCTCAAATAAATAAATAAAATCTTTAAAAAAAAAAAAAACTTTCAGTTATAAAACATAAATAAGTCATGGGGATGTAATGTACTGCATAGGGAATATAGTTAATAATATAATAACTTTGGATGGTGAGAGACGGTAACTAGACTTATCATGGGGATCATTTCATAATGTATAAAAATGTTGAATCATTATGATGTACATCTGAAGCTAATAGGATAGAGTAAGACAGTTACATGCATACATATATATGTAAGCAAGCTACATAACCAATCGTGACTGGAGTTTAAAACAAGCTAAAAAACTAAGTTCTATTAGCCCATATCCATGATTTAAGTTCTATGAAAACATGACTCAGTGGATTAGTCTTTTAATTTTCTGCATACACTGGATCATATTTGAAAGGTTCTATAAAGTTCCTTCTCAAATATAAAATAAAATACAAGAGAACAAAAGCTGTTTTAATACTCACCTCTGCTGTTAATATCACTACTAACATTAAAACTATACTTTTTTTTAAAGTAGGCTCCATGTGGAGCTTGAGTCATGAGATTTACCTGAGATCAAGACCCTGATCTGAGATCAAGAGTCAGACGCTTAACCGACTGAGCCACCCAGAAACCCCTAAAACTATACTTTTTAAATGTGAATTCAGTATTCATATTTGTCTCAGATGCCAGCCTTGCCAAACTTTAAATGGGCATCTATGATATACCACATATGTAATGATAATCTGCCATACATCTAATTTCATAAGCATACCAGTCCCATCACTAGTTATTTCATGAGCACTCAGAGTACATCCTAAATTCAGTGGGATGGAGCTTTTATGTTTTCCTTTCCCTAGAGAAGCAATATGTGACCTGACTGTAGTGCATCTGTTGTACTAGAAAGATGCACCACAGTCAAAGACAAAGTCATTCCTGATGTCTTGCCCATTCTAAGCTCCCAGGACAAGCCAAAAGTTAAAAGCTCTAGGCTTCTAATCCAGCAATTACCATGGCAACAGTAGTCTTATTGAAAGAAAGGAGGAGAGTTCAGGCCTCTCAGCTTTTTCTACACCTGTGACATACACACATTTATCAATGAATAACTTGGGACTTCTATGGTTCCAAATATAATGCAAGTATTTAAAGCTTCCAGAATATGCAAAGTCTTACTGCACTGAAATTGAGTTGAAATCCGGAGAGTGGGAAACAATTTCTAGCACTGATACAGTAAACACTATTTATAACAAAATACTATAACAAATTGCAGATTATACAACAGCAGGATGGGGGGGAGCTTTAAACATCTCCTGGATGGAGGCGCCTGGGTGGCTCAGTCGTTAAGCATCTGCCTTCGGCTCAGGTCATGATCCCGGGGTCCTGGGATGGAGCCCCGCATTGGGCTCCCTGCTCAGCCAGCTTCTCCCTCTCCCGCTCCCCCTGCTTGTGTTCCCTCTCTAGCTGTTTCTCTCTCTGTCAAATAAATAAATAAAACCTTTATAAAAAAAAAATCTCCTGGATGTTCTCTATACAAACATCTATCTAATTATAAGAACCTCTTCTATAAGGTTCTAAGAAATAAAAATAAAGTACCAGAAAGACAGAAAGACTTTGCCAAGGAATAAAGTAGGAGTCATACCCTGGATTTTAATTTCCTAACTTTCAGTACTTCACTTAGGAACAAAGAGTCAACTATCCTCAGATACACAGAAGACAACACATCTTGGGGATTTTGTCTAACTAACTTTTACCTTGTCCAAACTTTTGCCTCTGATGAAAAGCCACTAAGGGAAATTCTCTGTTCCTTCATTTTATTTTTCTACTCTCACTTGCCTACTTCTCCCTGCTATTCCTTCATTTTAAATATCATCATACAAAGCTGACAAAAAATAATGGTCCAAGTTTTAATTTAGGCCACTGCTTACATACCTTTCAATAATACAAACAAAATACAACTATGTACTTTGAATTCACAAATATCTAGTTATTACCCTCTTAGGATACTCATTTCAAGCCTAATAAAACTTTAAAGAGACAGAAATTAATACACAGGGAAATTTTAAGGATAAAACAAATACTGATAAGAAGTATTAATCACTACATACATCATCTCTGTTGAACTGGAGCAGGTGACGTCAGATGATAAGAACTGAGAAAGTGAAAATGGGGTATTTTTACTCTCCGAGGATCAAAACCTCTCAAATGCTCAGCCCTTTATGAGAATCCAGAAGCAGAGCCGTCATATAACATGTATTGACCACGGTTCCCCTAGAGATTGTGATGGTTCTTAAGAGCCACTAATGATTCTGCCTTGCACTTTCTCCCCCTGGCTATTTTCTAGTGCCTTTGCCCTCATCTGAAATGACTTCTCCCTTTTCCTCAGAAGTTCCAACTACTTCCAGATCCAGTTTAAACCCCTCAAGGCCTTCCGAAAATCACTCTCACCTCTAAACTCCTAATTTGTATGACATCTTCCACGCCTTTGGAAATTAGTTATGCATGCCTAATGAGAGTTCTGAGAATGGATGCTTACCTTTCCTTCTTATTTAATATTTTTATTACTTAACTTTTCACATATTTAAAACCCTTGAGGATAATATATCTTACATTTCTTTTTGTTAACCTGTATAGAAGGTACCATTAAATATTTGTTGATTTAAATTTATTTAAAACTATTCACCACTTTTTTTTTCAATCATTCCATAGTGTTGATTTAACAAAGTTCAAAAAATGTAGATGAAAATAATGGTACTCCATTCCAAAACTACCTTCTAAACCACTACCTTTAGCTACTGCAAGTAATTTTTTTAAACTAGAATGCTCACAATTCAAACAATACTGAAGAAGATAAAGGTAGCTAAAGAAATGTCATGGAAGCGGGTTGAGAAAAGATATGAGATATTAAATGAACAAGAATGGAGATCCATGTTGGGCAGATAACAGAAAACAAGAGGAAGTGGTAAAAGAAATCAACGTGAACAAAATTGGCAATGGAATGGAATGAACTATTCTTGGCTGATATCCTCCCCTACCTAAGCAATTGCAGTAATTTCAATGATTTCCTATACAGTAACAGAATTATGGAGTAAGAAATAGAATGCTCAGAATAATCAATGAGGAAATTAGTTTATCTGGCCTCAATCCCTTCATCTGTAAAATGAATAAGTGGATACATGATTGCCTCAGGAGAGACAGCATGTGCAGAAGTTGAAAGTGCAGACAGTGACTGTCATTATATAAAATGTTACCAGTGGAGATAGCTAGGTGAAGGGTATGTGAACTCCTTGTGCTATTTCTGCAATTTCCTGAACTTCTGTAATTATTTCAACATAAAAGTTTTTAAAAGTACAGGCTGTGGAACCAGACCACTGGGGTTTGAATAGAGGTACAATCATTGGCCGGGTGACCTCGATCAAGTCATTTAACCTCTCTGGGTTTCACTTTGCTCATCTGTGAAATGAGGATAATAACAGTATTTATCTCATAAACAGTTGTGTGGGTTAAATAAACTAATACATGTAAACCACTCACAACAGTGCTTGTCATATAGTAGTCACTCAGTGGTCAGCCTTTATTAATGTGGTTATGATCTTTTCAAAATTATTCTAAGATAGTGTTTAGCTCTAGAATACATGTAAGCTATTGTTATTTTTGCACTACTAATGTGGAGAGAAACAAACTAGTTTGAAAAAAGAGAATAAATCTTGGGGCGCCTGGGTGGCTCAGCTGGTTAAGTGACTGCCTTCGGCTCAGGTCATGATCCCAGAGTCCTGGGATAGAGCCCCGCATCAGGCTCCCTGCTCCTCGGGGAGCCTGCTTCTCCCTTTCCCTCTTCTTGCCGCTCCCCCTGCTCGTGCTCTCTCTCTCTGTCTCTCTCTCTGTCAAATAAATAAATAAAATCTTAAAAAAAAAGAGAGAGAGAATAAATCTTGGTAGCCATTGTGGCCAATGTTTTAGCTTGGTCACCTGTCTTCTCTCCATAAATGAGGATTTAATGCCATATTTATACAAAGCGACTTGCATTTATTTTTTTTGAAAAATGGATATATCACAAAGAACCATGCCATTGGAAAGGTGTCTCAGTTTACATTGGAGCCTGGGTTCCTGCTACATCAGGGTCATCTGCCAAAGAACCACGTCCTGGTTTGAAAACTCTAAAGAACAGAAGATGTCACATTCTCTCTAGCTAACCCTTACCAGGACCTCAAAGACGTCAGGAAATTATGCTTGGCACGTTTTACACTTACTGCATCTTGTCACCAGTGGATGTAGAGGGTAAGTTTTAGAACTTTACACCTGAAGACTGCTATTGGATCACTCGGTTCTTCCTTCTCTTTAATCTTCTTATAGATACTATCTTCCAATTGTTTAATCATCTTCCATTTCTACTTTACAGAGTTACTGTAAAGATTACATGAATTAGCATACATCAAGACACCTCGCTCTGTAGGGGGCACATAGTAAGCATGTAATGCATTTTTCCTCCTTCTCTAAGGAATAACGAAACTATCTCCATCAGAATGTGAGGCAGTTGAGGTATTCGAATCAGAATCTCATAATGAATATACAGGCAAGCTCACAAATCCCTAGGTTTTTATCTTCTTTTTGGAGTTTTCAATAGTTATGAAACCAGATCCTAATTGTTCTTCTCTGCTCACCCTCGTCAATTTTTATCCAGATCCCAAACTTTAAGCTATTATGATGTCTTTTAAAGCTTAGATACTTTAAACCGAAATAGTTCAAGAAACATATACTATAAATAGACATCCTTTGTGAAAACTTCTTTTTCTTAAAATTATTCTTCGCCTCACCTAAACCATATTCAGTCACATTCCACTTAAAATGTTTTTTGCACTTCTTACAATTACTGTAAATGTGCTCCTCCCTCCCTTTCAAATTGTGAAATCTTGTCAAAAAAGGAAGATTTTATAAAATCAAACACCTACAGTAATATTGCAATATGCTAGACTATAACTGTGAGAGAAAATTAATTCAGTAAAAATGGTATCCTGTTACTTCAGTTTGCAACTCTCCTGTCTGTTTTTAAATGATTTTTAAAGCCAGAACAGTCTGTATGCTTCTCACAATATCAGTGTTTTCAGCTGAATTTTCTCCTCCTATTCTTATGATTCTATTCTGAAAATGACAAAACATGAATGGGAAAAATACCAAAGCTTGATTTTTCAGATAACTACTACTTGAAGAGTAGTCTGGAAAATTCTGTGTTCACTTTCAGCCTTCCTTGCCTCCTCAAAAAGAAATGGGTTTTTTGTCAAATGCTATGAGAGAATGGTTAAAAGAACCTTTTGATTTGCAAGCCACTTTGTCCTCAAATGCTGCTACATTCCTGAGAATTTTTTTTCTTTAGTTCTGAGACTACAACAAAACCCAGTTAAAGCAGCAGGATTTCCTAACACAATGCTGCAAAACCCAAGTTCTGATCAAGATTACCTGCAAACTCAATAGAATGAATAATGAGATTCTTATTAGACTGCTTTTTTTCTACAAGAGAAAAATACTTCAAAAACAAATTGTCACTGGAGTGATGGTTTACCTTAAAGAAACACTGTACTCAGGATAGAAGACACTTGTATATCGGACCCATGCACCAACTTCCTCTTCATTTACCCTTTTTTTGGCTTCTGTTACTGAAAACAGATTAAATGATTCAAATCTTCTTACAGATACATGTCGCAGGCAATCATCCAGGTGCTTTTGCTTCAGAACCTTTGAAATAAAAACAAATATTGTGTTCATATTATATAAACACATGTCAGATGTTCAAAGTTTAAGCGGTAAGGGGACTTTCATTCCCAGTAATAGCAGATTAGATAATGTAGACCAACCTCTTACTGCAGACGACTAGAGAAGATGGACAGAACATATTTTTTTTTAAGATTTTTTTATTATTTATTTATTTGAGAGAGTGGGAGAGAGAGGGACAGAGTGGGAGGGAGAGAGAGAAAGAAAGTGAGCAGGGGGAGGAGCAGAGGGAGAGGGACAAGCAGACTCTATGCTGAGTGTGGAGCCCGACGTGGGGCTCAATCCCAGGACCTGAGACTATGACCTGAGCCGAAACCAAGAGTCAGATGCTTAACCAACTGAGCCACCCAGGCGTCCCTGGACAGAATATCTTAAAACATTATTTAAAGGTAGCAGAGAACAAAGAACAAAACAGAGAACTAGTAAAGATTTACCAGTCTAATAACTTAAAAAGGAAATAAATCTAGAGAGGTGAGCCTGGCTTTTGCAATCACTCTCCCTGTGGGGACATTGATCCAATTCCAATAGAAAGAGCTAAGAAGACAAGCAGCACCTTTTACAGCTGTGGACTTAGAGGGTAAAAGCTGAATTTCAAAACTTACTACCTAGGCAGGGGCAGGTATATTGTTCTGAGCCTGTCTCATGAGTGCGTGTATGTGTATCTGTTTTAAGATAAATCAAATGAGTAATTTTGTTGGGGGTCATTGAAAACTGGGTTTTTAAGTATGGGAGAAACAAATACAGCTGTAAGATTAATGATGCTAAGCAAAAACTCTAGAGCTCTGAATCTGAATAAAGTATAATAGAAACTAATGGGTTTTTTTAATTTATTAAAACATTTTAAAATATAGGGGCGCCTGGGTGGCTCAGTCGTTAAGCGTCTGCCTT